TGCCTTCTACATTTAAGGCCATTAATAACATTTCAATATTACGTCTAAAGACTTATTGTATCAAAAATATTTGGTTGCTAAAAAATTATGACAAATTTGAAAAACGTATGATTATGCTTTGATTTTTGAAACCTATAATCGTCCCTCAAAATAGAATAGATTATTCTTAAACCTAAGCCTAGAAGTTTCATGAGACTTAGAAGAATTATTCTTAAAATCATGAACAAAAAGATTAAAGTATATATTTAATTGAACTTGCTTAAGAAAGGTTGGATCAATAGTCAATTTTGATTTTATTTCTTGAAGATAAAAATATTCATTGATATGAAGTACTCAAGGTTCTTATACATATACATAATAACTGAACTAAAATCATCTTTTAAATAATGATACTATTTTTAAAATAAATCCATGATTATAAAAAGAAATTCTTTGTTATGGATCTTGTTGTTAATCTTGACTGTTCAAAATTTCTTAGAATGAAAGTACTAAGTAGAGGTTATCATTTTTTCCTATTTATAATAATATCACATCTTTAGCAAAGTTTGAAGTATTTTTCTTTATAAAAAAATACCTTAAAAAAATCAATACAATACAAGATTAATGCAAAAATAAATGTTATCTTCAAGACTTCAAAAAATGATTCAACTTCTTTATTCTAATCAAATTTTTCTTTATATGTCAAATGTGTAAGAAGAGCTACAACTTGAAAAAGTTCTAAATAAATTTTGATAATAATTACCAAATCTAAAAAAACATTTTGTATTTTTAATTACTTTTAGAATCTTTCAATCTATGATAATTTGGATTTTTTTGAGATCTATTATAAGACCATCAAATGAAATGGTGTATCATAAGAAATCAACTTCAATAGTGTGAAATACACACTTTTCTATCTTGGTGTATAGACTTGCATTTTTAAGTTTTTAAAGTATGTGACAAATATGAAGTTTATGCTCTTCTATATTCTTAGTATAGATAAAATTATTATTTAAATAATAGACAACAAAATCATTAAAAAAACTCACAAAAGATATCATTCATTATTTATTGAAATGCAACTAGTGTATTTGTAAGTCCAAAAAAGTATGACATTATATTTAAAATGCTCATACTTAGTTTAAAATGTAATCTTCTATTTATATATATATTTTTTTAATATATACCAAGTTGCATATTCTTTATAGATCTATTTTTTTATAGATTTTTGCTTGATTGAATTGATTAAAAAGTCTTAAAATCAAAGATAGAGGATACTTATTCTTAATGGTGATCTTATTGAATCTTCAATAATCCATACATATTTGTAAAGATCCATTTATTTGCTTTACAAATAAAATAGGAGCTCTTGCTAGAGATTTAAAACGATGTATGAATTTTTTAATCAAGTTCTCATCAATGTATTTCTTAAGTTCAATCAACTCATTTTGCAATTAATTATAGATTGGTCCAAATGGTGGTTGAGCTTTGTCTTGAAGATCAATGGAACAATCATGGAAACAACATTCTAGAAGAATATCTATATTTGTTTTTCAAAATATCTTAATAATCTTAGTATTGGCTTAAAATGCCATTTAAAGTCTTTTTTCCATCAAAAATAAATATAATATAAATAATAAAAGTTGACCCTTTTTTTGCTATATGCATAAAAGTTCTTATAGTTATTAATAATGATTTGATTTTATTAGATTTCTATTCAATTAGCAAGATTTTGGATTAAATTATAGAAAAAATCTAAGTTACAAGAAGTCTAATCTATTTGAATATTATACTTTTGTAGCCACAATAATCCTAAAATAATTGGATTTGATGGAGATCTAATGACATTGAATATTACTAAGCTATTATGATCTTTATTTCCTACATCAAAAGGAACTATTTCATGGATAACATCTCCAAAGAATAATAAATGATCATTTATGATTTCTACATGCATAGATTTTTCTTTTTTTTGACTAAAAATATTTCTTATTTTTTAATAAAGATCTTGTATATAAAACAAGTTGAGGCTGCTAAATCTAGCAAGGTAAAGACCTTATGATTTTTTGATCTCAAATAAACTTCTATTATAAAATAAGGTGAGAGATCTAAAGAGAGAATAAGATCTTTACTAGATAATATGCAAGATTTTAGTTGTTTAGTCCCTATTGTAGCTAGAGAAATTTGTTTCTTGACACATCTTCTTTGGCAATCATATTCTTTATTTTGTACTTATATTGCTTCTTTGAATAATGTTGAGTAATGTGCTTAGGTTCTCCACAATATAAGCATAAACCTTCTTGACAATGTCAAGTTTTTTTTTGCTTAATAAGAACTTTGAAATGTATCGTATCAATTTGCATAAGTTTTGATCTTGATAAATAAGCTTTTTTTAACTTAGAAATTATTATCATGGCTTGATTTGTTCCTTTTCATCTAAATTTTTATTCTTCACATCTTTCAAAGAGTTGATTATCACATACAATAGCTTGAGCAATAAATTCCTCTATTGAGTGTGCATTGGACATTATTAAAAATAAATCTTTGATGTTATCTTTTAATCCATGTCAAAATTGATTGATAAAGACTTTGTCATTCAAATCTACATCATAAGGAAGATTTTGGAATTCTGTAATATATATAGTAGCTGAATATGATCTTTGTTGTAAAGATATAATTTTAATCTTTGCTATCCTTTCTTGATCACTTTTTCTAAAAGTAATTATAAGTACTTTTAAGAATGAATTTAGATCATAAAAAAGACTTGAATCTTTTTTTTATTAAAGATATAAATCAAGAAAGAATATTTTTAGATAGAAGTGCACCTATAAATCCAACTTGAATAAATCCATCAAGATATTAAAAAAGATGCAACTTTAGATAGAGTTTTATTTATTGTAGAAATTCTTGAAATTTTTATCTTGTTTCATCAAATTTCTTAGATATACTTATCCTTGCCTCTCTTATATTTGAAGTAATAAGACTTTTTGGATTTAGTTATGAATTTGATTTACTTGCTTCTTTCAGTTGCAAAAGTTCTTAGCATAGACTTTGAACTTTATTGTTGACGTCTTCTAAAGGTATTAAAATACTACCTCTATAATTGATATTAGAAATACAAGAGATTTCTATTCTTAAAGTGTTAATAATGTCTTGAAGATCTCCAATAGATGCAAATCCATTTTCACTTTTGTCAAGAGTAGTATCAATAATTTTTTCTTCAATATAAAACTCAAACAAATTCAAAAGTCAAATTAGAAGAAGATAATCTACAACTTCTAATATCAAATAAAAGTTTCTACAAAAAAAGGTAGTCCACTTTCTTTAAGAAAAAAAATTAGTATTAGAAAACTAAATGTGAATTTAAAGATGAATAGCTTGCAATTTTCAAACCACAATAATAGAAGTGAAATAATCCACTCATTTTTAATACAAAATAAGGACAAGTTAACACTCTTGTCAAACTATCAAAAACATGAATCTTAGAGAACTGAAAGATCAATACACTCTTGTGTCATTCAAAAAGACTAGAGAATCATTCAAAGATGGTATAATAGTAAACTAGAATGGCTATTGATAAAGACAAGAAGTCTAGAAAGTCTTGAAGTAAGATTAAAGGCTAGAAAAGATTTGACAAGAGTGAAGAAAACTTCAGTCTTTCTTCTATATATATTATGCAATTAAAACTATGCATTGACATTCTATAAGACCTCCAATACATGTTCAATCTATAAAACATGAGTCTTAACTTGCAAGGCAAGTTTTTTATATGCATACCACATTGTTAGCTTGTACCACAAGCTGTCTACATGTGTGATACATGGCTAACTTGTTGGCTAAGTTTTTAACCTATTAATTAATTATAAACATGTATAAAATCAAATATGCATCTATGAAACTTCTAAGAAGTTTTGCCACAAGATAATATGAAATCTACCTATATTTACTTTCTACCCAACACGTCTTATTTAGATAAATATTTATATCTATGACTGCACGTTAGGTCCAATCCTCCCAATTTTTAAGCATGCACAAAAATACTACCTTGTAGACTACATTAATAGCTACAGAATCTGGGGGCGGGAAATTGTTGAGTGAACACCCTTGGACGGGAAACACCTCAGATGATCCGTTGCATCTTCATTGCGTTCAAGGTTAACGTCTCATTTGTCACCGGAGATCCAACAGCCACAACAGCAAAACCGTACAGAAGTGTTGCCGTCCATCGATCATCGGCCAACGATACTGCAGGTACAAGTTTCCACAGTACTTCACACTTCAAACTGATACAACATGCCTCCACCTCCGAAGCGAAATATCCACGCAAAGCATTCCCACTTTCACTTCCACAACCACACGTCCATTCGTAATCTGGTCTCTACCTCGACAAACCCACTACGAAGAGTACGAATCTACCGAGCGAATCTCACTTAAATGCTTCAAAGGTCCTCCGTAAAGAATTCCAACTGATTCTTCTCCAATGCGTAGGAGATGCCATGAGCTATCTTGAAATTTGTTGCTTTGTGGAGGTCAGGAACATGTATCCTTTCAAAGCTGTCTGCTACCTGGGCTCCATAAATTCGTTAACCTAAAAGTTCTTCCTACGGATCCTAACTGAATCAGCAGAACGCTTCACATATAACCCAGAATCAGAATCTGATATTGTACTTCGTTACACTTCATTCACCAGTCGATCCTCCGATTTTTAATTCGTGTGTGAACAACAGATTTGCGCATCTGGTCTGGCAACTTGGTTGATAGGGTTAAATTGATGAGAAGAGGCTGAAGCATTAGGTGCAGAACAAGTGGAATGTTTAAATTCACTGAGCCAATATCAATCTGACCGAGGACTGAATTTCACAAAATTAACTTCAAGGTAGTAGTATAGAGATGGAAAATGAAGCGATTGTAGGTTTGAAGCAAACTTTAGTCACAGTTAACGGGCCCTGTTGGGCTCGTATGCTCCGCAATAGTTCAGTCCACCAACAATTGGCATGAGAATCAACAAGTTTACATGCGGATACAAAAGCATTTCTTTATTTAAAAAAGCATCGCTACGGGAGGATGGCATTGAGCGTCATGGAAAAGTCTACGGATCATGTCGCTCTCCAAGTTGCCGCCCGTTCTCCGCAATTCAGCAATTGCGTCTATGCCGTGGAGCCCGCGTTGTTCTAATTTTCTCACGTCCCGAAACATTCTTTCCAATGAATAGTTTCTACTTCTTCTGTAAGTAGCAGCTATTCGATGTGCACGACTCGAAGAGTTTAATTCCTATCTTGCTTCGATCGTCAGCCATAATCCTACCACATATTTCTTAGCCTCCCGCTTCCAACCTCTGATTTGGTGAGTTTTTTTTTCTCAATCCCAGCATTGAGAAGGACATGTTGGAATCTAATTACAAGAGGGAGGTGCTCTAAACCTTGTCCCTAGCTATTAAACATCTGTTCATCAAGCAGGATACAAACCTCCACAGTCGAGAGTCTGATCTCCAGAAGAATTCAGCTCCACATTACTTGATGATTTCATATACAAATTGCTAGATAGCAACCCGTCACGTGTCAGACGGGATAATAACGTATCAACTATACCATATTAATTCCAACCCTCGGTAACATATATTTTAGAAGGATCCCTCATTCATAGCCTGAAATCAATATCGAATTGTGAAGATCATCAACGGCGAAGGCCCTGCTATCTATACTAGGCTGCATTCTATGCACGAATTGCCTGTAATTAAATTTCTTCGTCAGAATCAGACAGATCATCCGCACCAATCATGGACGCTCCTATTAAGAGGGGCAAGTACTATCCGAGACTTCAAGCAAACACCTCGTGAGATCACACATTTGTCTTATCGCGCGTAGCTTCCTGCAATGACAAACAGTCGCACCTTAGCTTCCACCATCCTACCGTAGTACATATAATCAATTAAGAGATCACAAATTAACCACTAATCTAAGGACTAACCACTAACCTGTAGCAAAACAACCCGATCTCTGCTACTCATGAGAGCAATTTCGACTTTGAGGTCCTCAAACATTAATCAAGTGAATTTCATCTTGCACTCCGTAGAACCCCAACTTAAGCTTGGGCTCAATTAGAACTTAAAATCGCCCCTGCCTACAGCTTTCGTGAGCCGACTTACCTCACCAATTAACCAATTCACATCAAGTCTTCAATGTAAAGATTCATGAATCAGGTTCATGCCACATGTCATAATACCAGTTCATGTTCGACCATAAGGTTGTTCGAGTTCACAATCTGGCAAAGACCCTAAAGAAGAACGCGTTCCCTTCTGCAGAAGATGCATGGCTCATCATCTACAAGAAAAGGCTTGAAGCATGCTACAGATACATACGAGTTAAAAGTTTCACAATGAGAGGAGTAAATTAGCAAGGAAACTCTTTCAAAATATGGTGACCGTGAATGAGTATGTCGCACAGATTCACTAGTGAAGGAAGCAGGATCTAGCCTCTGTTCAAGCTCATCACTTAGAAGTTTAAAAGCTTCTTTCTAAAAGTCATGAAGAAGCAAACAGCTGTAAAATAAAACAAAACAAGGGTGCAAAGACTGTCCATTGTTCGATGTGATTATACTGCAAAAGGACACAGATGGTAAACTTGCGGCTTGCGTGACCTGGTACGACGTAGAAGTTGCATAAAATTATCAGAATGACGCTAGCTACCTGCGAGTAGGCGATTGCTCCTGACTTGGTTTCATCCGCGATTGTTGACTCGAGTAACATACTCTCGCGCTCAATTCAGCCTTCGAAAATGACTTGCAAGTACATTTCTCTGGTGAAGTGGAGCCCTGTTTATATCTTGGCACTTGAGAAGCATTGCTCGGTTCCGTCCAGACTCCACTGCTCATCGGTGCCAAGCGTGCCGTTGGGCCGTCGGGTGCAAGTGGTGTCTTACTGGGACAAGTTAAGACAGGGCAACTGCACATACCACAGCAGCACGAGCGTACACACTTGCAGAATGGGCATTCAATACGAATCCGAGACCGAGGCTGAGTGCACTGCCAATTACCACAGCAGCAAAGCTGTGTCCTTTCTGACTGGGGTTTTCTCGCTGGTGTCTTCGATGTTGGCTTAAATCCTTCTTTACATGGTACCTCTAATTCCATTCTTGAAGTCCTCATCAGCTGTTCGTAGTTCAATGGGTATGCCACCTCAGGTTTTAAACCTGCATTCTGCAGTAAATCCATTGAACTGTCCGTAACAGTCCGCTCTTTGTCATGTTTCAGTGTCGGGGTTTGCACTGACTTGGGCGAGCCCTGAGACAAGAGCTGCTGCTGCTGCTGCTTTGTATATTGTTCACAGAAGCACAGGACTGAACCCTGACAAAACTTGCAAATCTGTGTAGAGAACTTGCAGTTCTTAGGCTTATGACAATCGCAATCCTTACACTTTGGACTCGACGACTGAAGGATCTTGAAAACGGGATTGTGAGCATTATCAAAACTTGAACGAGGTTGAGGGGAGCATTTCCGCTTGTGACAGTCGCAGGTTGCACACCGTGGTTCCACGTAAGAACTACTGCCGGCGGGTTTGGCCGCTACTCCACTCATCCTACCTGTAATCAGTAGGAAGCCGCAAAGTGTTATTGGTTTGCATAAATAGCAAATTGTATCCCCCAAGGCGTAGCACTTTTAGGTGAATTGAAACGCTGATACGAAATAGTTGTCGACTTTAAAAACTTAATTTCTTTGGTGCTGCTGAGCACTTGCTCAAGCCCCCCAAGATAGCCCACGCAGTCTCGACATAGACTGTTTTGCTTTTTCGACTTCACGTACACAAATCCTGGTGACATTGACATACATGACAAGCAATATAACAATTGCATGGAGGGCGAGAAGGGGCATCATCAGTTTAGGCTGCACTACACTGAGAAGCTGGAAGACCGGTGGAATATAGAGTAAAGAGTGGAGGAGATGGAGTAGAACCTGAGTAATCAGACAACTTCTCGATATAAGATGAACAGCTTGGTTCCGGGCAGACGGTAGATTCCTTGAAGTGTGGTGGAAAAGAAAATTGTATTTTGGACCCGCGTGATTGTCCAGGTCGAGGTGACGGACATGAAGGCGGGCAGCAAGGGTTGCAGGGATTACAGGGAGGTGGGTATCCGCATGGATCTTTGGAGAAGATCGGGATGCATTTTCTTAAGGGCGGCAAATAGATGTTTCCATAGATAGGATCATAATCACCAACGCGCAAGTCACAAGGGCAACAGTCTCTAGGAGAGTAACAATGTAAGTCATTCGATGGAGGCAGGTAGAGATCATCATATTCAATGAAACATCGACATCTACCAGGAAGACGGCCTTCTTTGCATCTATTTAACTCGCTGACATCCATATATTTCTGATTTGAGTCTGGTAAACATGAGTCCATCTGTCTCTCTGGTGAACGAAAGGGGCAGCAATCACACTCACTGCCACTTTAAATTCGTGCTGAGTGTAAAGGTGTGCTCTACACTGCAAAAACGCGGCTTGGACTCGGAAAGAACTTCAGTGCTGGTTTTTTGATGTGAAGAAGTTTCCGTAGACGACGACCTGTTGTAATTGTTTTCTTAACAAAAAGGGTGTTGCTGAGCGCAAGCATTCCACCACCTTGGACGTTGATGTCCGTGGGGGCAAATACTCTACGTACACGGGGATTGGCTTAGATCCAAAAATAGTATCCCATCGATTCCCCTGGCTTGGTTTTGCATCCCACTACTCTTGGCTCCTTTCGCTGACTTTCAGGACAACTCTTGCACTATTTTCCAGTAGGATTTCCCAATGTCACGTAAAAACCAAGGGAATTTTGACAGTACCTTGTAATTTAGGTCGGGATTCTCGTTTCCCCAGTCCATTAAGAGCCAGTTATCCAGATTTTTATGTGGTTTTTCCTCTGTGGAAGCACAGCCTAAAGGGTTAGGTCAAGCGAGACATACGAAATCAACTTACCCTCTACACAGACATGAAGCGTCACAACATTAAGACGAAAATTATTAAAAGGTACACCACAACAAAGAAATACTAGTACAGAATAGATGTTCTGGAGAACGATTCAGTTCTCAAGTTCTACAATACCAAAATCTTAAATATGCATGTAGCGACCTTACCTCAACCATGCATCTTGTTGATTTAGAATCGTGGCCTTCTAGAACCGCTGACATCGGCACAAGAACCTTTCCATATTACGGCCCTAATGAACCTAACAACTTCGAACATCAGAGGAGTTAAGTGTTTCGGTTACTCCTGCTCATCGCTCGGTCTAGTTAAATCTCCCATCCCCATCATCCTATCTCGTAAAGAATGAAGACCAGTCATTTTTTATGCACAGAGCAGACGTCCAGGGAAAACAAAGGAGACAAGGACACGCATACATGAATCTTAACACACCGTAATTCTCTGGTTTGACATACACGATTGCCACTCTACAAATTCACCACCGCAACAATATAGAAGTTACGGACATTTCGCGATTACCTACTCTGCATTATAAGTATTACCAGCTGGTCTGCAAGACTTTCTGCACAATTAAACATTAAGATACCAGCGATTTCCCAGCCCCAGATTAACAGCAACTTCCATTATCTTCAATTTTTCTTACGGTAAATTGTTATGTTCATGATGACCACTCTCTGAACAATATTTTATAATGCTTTGGCTGCTGAGTTGGCTTAGGTTCACTAGTTAAAGGTTATCATAATTATCCGTCATGTATAACCCAAACAGCAACGACGGCTGTGATGAGGGGGGTTTGGAGGAACAGGAAAGAGGCATAAGCCAAGAGACACAAAACTTGGATGCAAGGATGCAAGAGATCCCAACGATCTTATTCCTTGAACCCTTTCTGGCCGACCCCAAGGATCAGATGACATGTACACATGCTCAATATTCCCCTTCACCATCGTGTGCCTCTTGAAACATATAACCCCATTTTCCAGAAATGGCAAGAGGCTAATTATCAGTTTAAAACATAAGTTGCATCCTGCACTGCGACACATTGCGTTGGTAATAGTATGCATCCACATGCATTATGGGTTTCTGAATCTGCATGTGAGTCGATCACTACAAATCAGTCCCACAAAACTCAGCTCTCACACACACGAACTTATTGCAGAAACCTGTTATGCATATGGGACCTGCGGTGACAAACATATCTATTGTGTTTACTCTCTAAACACAACGGGATGTCGGCTATTTGTAAAGCTTTCAGACCACTCTACTGCAGAAAGTTTCATAGCTGGCTTCATGTAACGTGCGTAGCAAATTTAGGCTCAATAGATATCCTATTTCAACTGCGCATTTCGTTTTTTCAGACAAGATATGTAGCAGAAATGTTTGCGTGCTGTACCACCATTGATAACTGCCTCTACAATATATTCATATATCAGCATGTTACGAGGAGACTCACATGCAGCTTGTTCCGTTGCATGGAATTCCATAGATTAGTGACACAACTGTTTGCTTATAAACTAGTCCCATAAGGAAATTGGAAGCTACTTTGAGTAGGTCTATCAGCTGCAGAGCCTGAAGGCAATATTGACTTGAAAGAGCTTCCAGAGCCCGATTATCAGATACTACGAGTCACGGTACGATATCAATGCGTTGCAGTGCAACATTTCCAGCTCACCACGAGGCACACGAGATCGCATCCATTCGAATTGACTATTACTTTGTTCACTAAAAAACTCTTGCGTGCTACAATGTTTTACTAGAGAAAGTTGCCACATCCGTATGTTAAGAAAAACTAACTAATGTACCATAAAAACGAGCCAAATCTGCCATGAGTTGTCTACAACGGCCGGACGAAGCAAAATTCCTACGAAAGCAAACAGCTTTGCCATGCGCCTGCTCTATGATGCGCATGGCACAAAGAAACACACAAGCCCTCTCTAATGATAACATCCGAAAGTGCCTGTAATAGGAATTAATTATCCTGAGAACTCTGGTCTTGTAGGGGTTGATACGACAACTTGTGTCCTAAGGTTTCCTACAAGTGTTAATGAAGAATAACACATGGTGCAAAAGATAGGAGTTCATGATTTTTAAACCTTTTTTTTTTTTTCATTGGTTAAAATTAAGAAGTCTTATTTAGTTGGTATTATACTTAGAAAAATAAATCTAAGTATTATAATTAGAAAAGATAACGTAAATTGCACTTTTTATTTTTTTATATGTCATGAAGAGTGTTGTTTCTTGGAATTTGTGATAAGTTAAAATTAATCATGATTACTATATTCTTCATTATGGGTAAGTCAATTTAGTAAAAACCTGGGTTTATTTCACATTCTTCTTAAGATAGAAGTTGACATATTTAGACTTATAATTATTTCACATTCAATTGCTTCAAACAAAAATCTTTGTTAGACTATCTTATCATGGCCTTTCAAAGTAGGCTTTTAGATATAAAAATCACCTAAGAACAACATGATTGCTTGCATTTAATATTTTGGATTATATTCAATTTTTTTAATTAATATTTTTAAAAATATACATAAATTATAGTAATATTTAGTAATTAAGTTTTTTTCATAAATTTTATAAAAAAATTTATAAAAGTGTGATAAAATGTCACAAATTTTAACTTTATACATATGTGAATTATTATTCTTTTTTTATACAAATAATTTGTAGACTAAAAGGATTTAATCACTTTTGATGGTTTATTTTATATCTTAAATATGACTTCTGCTTTTTTTTAAAGGACAATAAATAAAAGATTGTTTTGTTGAAAACAACATCTTTAAATATTAAAAATATATATATATATATATATATAATTTTAGACCATATTACATCATTTTAATTCTTAAATTTAATTAAAGTTTTTATTTTTTATTTTTTTATATTTGTTGACTAAGAAATTTTTCTTATTTTACTCATTATCTACAATAATCTACTTCATGTAAATTTACATCTTTTAAGTCATTTTTTATTTTATTTTCAAAATATATTTTTTTTTTATTAATTTGGTAAATTTCATAAAGATCTTGATATTAAATAAGTTTTCTTGATGCTTAAATGTGTTACAAAAAGAGAATTGCACATTCATAATGAAAGAGAGAACAACAAGAAATCAAATATACACAAATACAATATGTATGTGGTTTACTTCCACATAAGCTACATCCACAAGAAGAAACTCTAATTCACCGCTTTAGTAATGCCATACATAGGATATAACATGTTCGCCCCAAGTTCACTCTTGCATTGCAAAATCTGCCCTACATAGTGACCCTTGATTCCAAGTCCGCCCAAGTCTATACCTCATTGGATCTCCCAAACCAAAAATCATAAACCTAAATTTATTCTAATGCATTTCTATTTGCTTGTCGCAAGTGATCCATACCACAAGGCTCCATCCCCTAGAATCCTAATTAAGACCAACCCTAGACCTTTGCAACAACATTTAATAGTCTAAACCCCATGATAACAAAATACAAGCCACTATCAACAATTTCTACATTGGTTTTAAAAAAATTATAGTGTTGTTTTCTATAGTAAAAAATTTCTTAGCTCTTTATTAAACAAAACATCTTATAAAGATGAAAGAAATTATTTGAAGTTTTCAATGAATAAGACAAATAAATGTTTTCAATTTGAAATAAACTAATAAATCACTTTTAAAAAATCTAACAAATTACTTTTTTTATATAGAAAATAAAAATAGACTTCTTTTATATAAAAGTATATTTCTATTACTTATTATCTTTCAACAAGAAACATTTGAAAACAATTTAGATATCAAAACCAGCAATAAATTAATACATATTATCCAATCTTGTCAACCAACAACTACCTTGTATCTTTTATAACCTTTTTATTATTATTATTATTATTATATATACATATCAAATTATATTACGTTTTGTTAAAAATTATTCTAATTTTATTATCACATTTATAAAGATACTCAACTCTTCTATTAATGTAATATTACCTGAAGTTCAGGTTTTATTTTTAGTATAATTTGAAAGGTTCGTATTAGCAGCAAAGATTCTTACAATTAATTAAAAAAGAATACCTCTTTAAGTTCTTTTTGCATGAAACATCTATATAGCTATTTAAAATTATGCACACATTTTTAGTTTATATTTATACATTTTTTTATTGTATTGATAATTAATTTCATTTAAATAAAATTATTCTATACTAAAAACAATTTTTTTGATTTCAAGTTGTCAGTTGCCTGAATTCTTCTTATGACTTTCAATAACATAAAAGTAAAAATTTGCTCAATATTTTTACAAAAATAAGAAAAACATAAATAGCCAAAGCATGATAGCGATACAAATTGGTAAAAAGACGTAGATAATAATACATACAACCACAAACTGATACCAAATTTTAAAAAATGAAATAAAATTTAGAATCCATGATAGTTTTGTAAAAAAAGAGGTTGTGTGTGTGTGAGAGAGAAATCGGCGAAGGCGAAGGGGCCGCGTCGCCATTGCGCTCGACGGCGACGACGACGACGACGAGGATGTGCCCATCTCCAGTTAGTTGCCTACATATGCACCACCTGCCTTCGTCATGAAGGCCCAAGTATCGAGATCAGAAGAAGAAGAAGTTGTACGTGGAACGCTGTGGAATTACGAAACGACGAAGCGGATGATGCAACGAAGTTTTGGGCGAAACAGAACCAAGGCGGAAGAAAACCCAACCGAGAGCGAAAGAGAGAGGGAGCGAGAGAGCCAGAGAATCACTAGCCCCACCCGCGTTGGATTGCAACAGTACGCAGCCGTTGTATTTGTGGGCGCCATTGGTCAGCAGCCAATTCGCACAGCATTCCCATCCAGCAATCGGACATGCTCGTGGATTTAAGCGAAATTGCTTCGTGTTTGATTTCTCTAGGCGCTTCCACCGTAATCTGACTTGTCCAACACGTCCCCACGCCACCTCGACCTGGACGGTGCATGCGCGCGCTCCCCCATCTCGATTGCGATAAAATCAGCCATGATGGAGCTCCAGGCAGCAGCCGTATCGATAAGTTCTGCTGTTTGGGTTCAATCCGGGAGCTTCTCGTCTGTTGTTGCAAGTTGTAGCGCGGTTGAAAGGGTGGCAATAGCCCCAATTGGTGGCATTCGACCGCTTCCTTTTCGTACCCGACAGAAATTTAAGACCTCTCTTCGCATTTCTATTTCGAAGAGGACTTGGACCCCGCTCTGTGGTAAGAAAATTGCTCTTATACACTTTGCCAATTTGTAAATTTGTGAACAATACGTTGGGATTTTGAGCTTGGGTGTTTTGTAAGTGTAGGCGAACAAAGAGTGCAGAGGAGGGAATTTTTGCGAGACGGCGCATTAGCCGCAGCCGGGTTACTCGTGTGCAGGGCAGCAATGGCGGAGACTTCTGTTGGGGGATATTCCAGTAAAGGTTATTTTCATTTCCAACTTTTTCAGCTTGTTTGCTCATGCATACTGTCCAGTTCCAGAGCTCCATTTATTGATATGTTGTCGGCATGAATCAGTGGTCATTACCAACCACATTGTCTTTTGCCATTCCTTGGGGAGAAATTTTATCGATTGCCAGCTCTAAATGTTGGTTTGTTTTGTTGAAATCTCTAACAGTACTGAAGCAATTGCCCTACAAGAAGGAAGGGTACAACTTTTGGACGTGGCGAGACCATAAGGTGCACTATATAGTACAAGGCCAGGGTCCTCCTATTGTGCTGATTCACGGATTTGGTGCATCAGCTTTCCATTGGAGGTAGGTTTGGTATGCTCCTGCTCAGAGTCTTTTCAAGATTTTAATTCTGTTTCAAGTTTGTCTTATTTCAGTTTGGAGCGACAGTCTAAGTGAGCTCTACCTGCAGGTATAACATCCCAGAATTGGCTAAGACTCATACAGTCTACGCAATGGATCTCCTAGGATTTGGTTTCTCCGAGAAGGCATTGATAGATTACACCGCCGATGTATGGCGGGATCAAGTGGCGGACTTTGTGAGGGATGTGGTGGGCAAGCCAGCCGTCCTTGCAGGCAACAGGTATGCCATTGCTCCATGAGCAAATCCTATTTCAACTTTTTTCGTGATTGTTCCTAGCAAGCTTGATGGATGCTTATTCCTTAGAATTGTTTGATGTCATCTCTAGTTCTGGTAGATTTTCTGGTCTGACCACTGGTTTGTCCCTGTGCAGTGTGGGCGGATACACTGTTTTGAGCACCGCCGCTGCCAATCCTGATCTAGTTTCAGGGTTGGTGTTGCTGAATGCATCAGGCCAGTTTGAAAGCTCAAGTCCAAACGAAAAGCTAGGTGATGAAACACCCGAGAAAGAAGTCGTTGAAATGGAAGAGTCAGTATTGAGCCGAATATTCATTTCACCCATCAAAAACACGGTTCAGAAGTTTACTATATTTTTCGCATTTTGGCAAGCCAAGCAGCCTAAACGTATAGAATCAGTTCTACGAAATGTAAGTACAAAGCACTCCACTAATCCTTGCCAAGTGGGACCAATTTCTGAATCGGAATTGATTTCTAACGCAGTATAGATGTTAAGAGACAACACATACTTAATGTACTGTTTGCAATACATGCAGGTATACAAGGATCAAACAAATGTTGATGAGTATTTGGTGAATTCCATTGTTCAACCCACAGCAGATCCGAACGCAGCAGAGGTTTATTACAGGTACTTGTCTCTTTAACTCCAGTTTCTTCAACAGAAAGTTAAGTGAATTTAGCATCTGAAAATAGGGAGCTAGGATCTCACAGCATGGCTTTTGTTCCTTGTGAGCGCTGTAGTTTTAACATGTGATTGATCTGACAGCTATGAATGGTATTTGGAACGCAGACTCATGACGCGAGTACTGTTCAAGCAGACGAACCAGACCATCAACAAGCTTTTGTCTCAGCTATCCTGTCCCATGCTACTCCTATGGGGTGATCTGGATCCCTGGATGGGTTCTTCAAAATGTGACATGATCAAGAATCTGTATCCGAAAGCTTCTATGGTGCGCCTCCAAGCTGGCCATTGCCCCCATGACGAGATGCCTGAGCAGGTGAACAAAGCTTTGCTGGACTTTGCAAACTCCGCGTAGCCCAGATTGTTTCAGGCAATGGTGCCACGCCATAAGTTGTGAAATATGAGCCACTGTAAATTTCACAGATGTTCAGTTCTTTTCCAAGTCACAGCTCCTGCATCTGTTTGTACTTTACTCATTTATAAACGAAAGTTTGCAAGCCCTTCTTTGACTGATTTGAGACGTAGATTGTTAGCGGATAAGTAATTAATTGAGTGATTTATGTGGATATATATATATATATATATATTTATACACATAACAAAGTAACCCATTAACCACAGAATGATTTAATTCTGTGCAAGATGGATTTTACTCTAGTAATAAGTGTGGAAAATACAACAACACAGACGTTCTAGTGCTTTCTACTCATTTAACGAAACTCAAATAAACTACAGTATGAACAGATGCCAATTATAAAATGCCAAAGCAATTGATTTCCAAAAAAATAAAATATAAAAATAATACATGTGGAAAAAAAGTTTTGCACAATCTCTGCATTATCAAATGATGAATGTGTAAATACAAAGTATGTTTTCTAATACATGTTAAGAATATTTACAATCTTAATACATTTGTAGTTGTAAAGGTGAAACAATAGTCTAAAATACTTTGAAGTGAATTATTTTGAAATAAGTTATTTTCAAAAACTAAAAAGAATAAAAGAATAAAATAAGACACTCCAAGCAATTGGATGACAATAGGATGATTAAGCTTAGGCCAAAAATAAGCATGAAGGTGATATGTGCCTTCAAGAGTCCATTCTAGTTTGTGATTCTTGATTATCTCCCTACTCCAAAAGTTGGTATGGCCTTGGATCATCTAAGTTTCATAGAATCTCCAAAACTAGACTCATAATTTAACTTTGGGGGCCACTTTAGCAATGATGGTAGCACCGACAAAGTTTTTTGATCACAAAGAAGAAACAAAATGCTTACAATGCACATGAGCCAAGCAATGGAGTGAGCTAGCCAATATTGGTGTTTCAAAGCCTAAAGAAGGCACTAGGACCACCTTGGCAAAGTAGCTACATGAGATAGTGGGAGCATCTGTGAACATACTCAACATGGTCAAATACTTGATGTTGGAGTCGGTCAACGCAATACAAAGTACAAAACTAAGACCATGCAAGAATCTGAAGTTGTTGCCAAAATCAAAAAGTATCATGCCAAAATTTGCACAGCATGTAGTTTGGGCCTCATATTCACCTAAAACAAGAATATTGTTATACCTTATTAAGTTCAAGGGCAGATTTGTAATTATCACAAAAATAAGGGATAGGTTTGCTATCATCAAGAATATAGAGATATTCTTGATATTTCAACAAATTTTAAAGATATATAAAATATTTTTTATTTTATAAATTATAACTCAATATAAATATTATATAAAAAATTATAATTTTTTAAAGTTTACTATATAATTTTAGAATTTAAAAATAATTTAATATTTGAATTAAAAAAAAATTGAAGGCCTTAAAATAAATTATAATTACACAAAAAGAGCATAAACATACCTAGAATATCTATGTCATGATATAATCTAAAATGACATAACCAATATAAATAATAAATACACCACAATCTAATTCTTCTTCTAATATTAATATTTTATATATAAAAAAAAGAAATTTGCTAATACCACCACAACTTTTGCCATTGCCATTCAATACAATCAAATTTAATTTTTTTAATATTTTTCAAACCATTTGATTGGAGAAAAAAATAAAAATAATAATGATATGACTAATATTCAAATATTAAATAAATAAATAAGTTATCATGGCAACTTAACATAAGAAATAAGAATTTTTTATCAATGATGAGGAGGTCTCTTTAAATTAGGAATTTTTCCAAAAAATCCTAATTTTCCTAAAATAAGCTTAGTGAGATGCCCTAAAATAAGTCTCTAATGATATTCTTGTATAATGTTGGAAGAAGCACCACATAACTCAATCCATGGGAAAGAACATCACTTTGTAGTACTTGTAGTCACATCAAGGTAAGCACATTGAATTCATTATGGTGAAAGAATTATAGATCCCCTAAAAATCCTCAATGGTGACAAATTTTGGCCTTGTACCAAATCCAGAAGATAAGGACACCACCAAGTTTTACAAGCACAATGCTTGTTCTATAAGAAGCTTGGTTGTAAAGAGGTTGAGTTCACATGGCGTAAGCCAAAGTAGATAGTGAATATAAAATATTTTCAATTGTTTTCCATGTAGATAATATCATGGCGCATATGAAGTTGTAACATGCCAAAGTGTGGGCAAAGTATAATGCCTTCTCAGATGCCTCAAAGAAGCAATTTTTCTACTAGGTTAATTTCAAAAACATCCTTACATCTCATTTCAAAACTAGGAAGGTACTTACATTTACAACCAATTGAGAGACATTATGGACGTGGTTAATGGTGGCATGTTATTTAATGCAGATGACAAAGAGTTTATGTCGACATGAACAAGCATTGTGAATTTTTAAGTTGTTCAAAGATGTAAACAATGACCAAGTTGAGCTTCATGGAAAGAAAGATCTAAACTACAAAGCATACAAGGTAGAGATCTATCCTTTGCAACTGTTCTATCTTGTGATTGGCTTCATCTTTTATAGAGTCTCATTCCAAATGGTAGCATGTCTTGTGGATATCACAAAGACCATGTCGCATATAGGCTACTTCAATGGATGCAATGACAATTATGTAGCTTATTTGTAATGGTGGTTTAGGCTATGAGCTCATAGAAAATCACCAAACTCTTCTACATACAATGAGTGTTTTTTCTTACTCTTAACATTGGCTAAAAACAAGGCATCTCTTATCTTGACTTGTGAATCCAATTCAAGCATCAATCAAAGTTACACAACCTCCACTTTCTTGTCATTCCACTTTTTGATTGCAAGCTAGGTAAAGTAATCTTTCTTGGAAGTACAAAACTTTTGGATGTTGTTGCTTCAAAATGTTGGACACAATGAGTTTGTCAATAGCTTGATGGGCCTCATCTCTTACCTTTGCTTGTAGTATAATCTCATTAAGAGGATAAGTTGTACATGCCAAAATTCATAGACATATGGTGGTCATCTATAAAAAATTGAATAGATTTTTGCAATAAGGGCACATAATGACCTACAAGTATCTTGCACAAAAGTCATCTGCATGTATCCTTCTCATTTCTTAGTGGGTGGTACTACTTGCGCTCAACAATGTTGTGAAGGTAATTTCCATGGTTGTGACATGCTTGTGAGGACTGAGCATGCTTTTGAATCAACAAGAAGCCCAACTCAAAGGCTTGATTCAATTATTGGTGAAATTGTAGAAAGTATAAGGTCTGCACATTACAAAGACTCTTGCCATGGATTATGGTGCTCTAAATCTGATCATTTGTGGATCTTGATATATGGCTCTCACAAGTACAGAGGCTTTTATTCAAGATCAAGGCACCTTTGTGATGAGCCTCATGGCTTTGTTGTTCACAAATCAGAGTGAGGCCATGATTTGTGACATGACTACATTGTTTGTTGGACTTATCAACAACATTGCATCCATTATTGCCCAACATGATTGCAACAACGATGCTAGCAATGATGATATTTTGAAAGTGTTGCCCCATAATTTGTGTGTACTACAAACTTTTCCATTGTGCATTTCCATCCATTGGCATAGGTTGTGGTTGGAAATAGGTGGGTGGAACATTCAATCTATTGAAGATATTGAGAATGACCATTGAGCCATGGTACAAGCCTACCACAAGGAGATGACCTTCAAGAATGTTGTTGACAAGTGCTCTAATTTGTGAATAAAATTTCACATTGAATGGATTCATTGCAATGGTCCGTTTCTACAACTTCAAAATTTTTGTAGCAATCTAGCCTCCAATTTTCTAATATAAGCACGATCAAATCTGACTTCTTCATAATTGGGTGGGAGAAGGACAAGTATTGACAATGACTCACAAACTTCTTGCTTGAGAATATCTTGTACTCTAAGCAATTTAACAAAGTCTGTCGAATTTGACCAGAATGGATGTTTTTAGACAACTTTGCTGATGAACTTGACGAGAATGGATGTCTTTGGACAACTTCGTTGATGAATTTGACAAGAATGGATGTTTCTGGACAGCTTTGTTGATGAATTTCATCTACTCCTAATTTACTTAGTTTAAAGAGACCTGTTGATGAGCAATGAATTCACAATCACAAATTTTGAAATGTTCTGTCCCTCAATACAGTTGAAGGGATATGGTACATCAAACAACTCATAACATGGAAGATTTTCACAGACAAGACATCAGAAGCAAGGAAAAAGGAAGCAATAAACCGAACGATTGAACTGAAATTCCGCAACCTGGAGCATAAGTATTCAAATATAAAGTTGTGCATAAATTGAAAGTTTTTGTGAGGTCTAACCAAGGAAAGGTGGGGGTTTAGCCCTAAAGTGAACCACTTGAATGTCAAATGATCACATGGAACATGAAAGATAAAAAACTCAGAAATGTGACATAAATATTTAGGCCATACCAGTCACTCATATACAAGAAGGAACAAGAACCCAGACTAAAGTTTATTAAACATGAATTGTAATTCTCATCCAACCATGACACCACAATGCTTTGATACCGCAACAGAGATGATCAAAGCAAGATTTCGTGCACTTCCAGGGATTAGTCAGTAGCAAGATCCGACACCAGATGAATGCATGTTGACAGGGGGAAGAGCCAGGCAAGGGAACACGAAATAGCACCATCCCACGCAGTCCCAAGCACTTTTATAAAAAATTGAGTACTGAACTTCCGCATTGATGCGTTCATTTGCTGTAGTTCCCTACAACGTGTATGACGAGATTCTAGGCCAGCAATGTCATTTCAATACAAATGCAAGTTTCTCATAGTTTGATAAATACATCCCAATCCTCTGTGCGATACTAAGGATAGCTTTCAACTGTACTTAGGAAACCCCAGAAAGTTGTAAAAAGCCAAGCGATTTTTCGGCTACGAGGCTGATCTAACACTAAGAACAAAAGTCAAAAATTCATTGAAAGACTTTCACCAGAGATATGACATGGTACGTTCTCAAACGATCTACAAACTACTCACTCAGGCCGCCACGTTCAACGTCAACGCTACCCATGCCCTGATCCTCTTGGTCACTGTCCTCGTCTCCATCCACTTCCTCATTCGCATCATGAAGATTTTTAATAGTTTCTGCGAGGAACCGCTCCTCTCTCTCACTCACCTGCGAGGGACAGACCAAATAACGTTACAGTTTGGAACACTCAAATGCAAAGCTAAGCTGCAGAGAAATGTAATATACATGTCACCAGACATTTGACATGACTCAAGTGACGATCACACCGGCAAATGAGCAAGTAAATATGACAAATAATCAAACAGGTAAATGAGCACGCAGGATGAAAGTACCGCTCGTGGTGGCTCCTTGACAAGAAGCTTTCCTTTGTGCTTCTCAATCTCTTTCGTACAAGCTTTGATAGCATTCTCCAACACTGTAATTCCAAGGTCCTGACAAGCAATGCACAAGTTGAATACGAGCTTTGAAAATAGTAAAAACTAAAACGGTAGCATTTCATGTTTATTCGATGTAAGCTGACCAATATATGAACATCTGTTTGGGATGTATTTATCAACCTGGTTTAAAATCTTAAATCCCACAAAATATGTAGATTTAACTCACCTTGTCAAGTGTCTGTGTGGTGATCACATAAAGTGGGGGTGCCACTAACTTAATCTTCACAGGACACTCTTCAGTTCCAGCAGCCTCTGCCTTTCTCATTGCATCCTGTAAGACACACAGAAGAACATGATGTGAATAAAACTAACGACAAACAACTGTGCGTCATGTTTTTAATGCCAAAACTCCTTTTAGTAACAGACCGTTGAATTATTGCCCACAACCCCCTCGGATACAGAGAGAATGAGCCAGTCACCTTGCAAACTGAAGACAAATGCTGATTTTCCAGCTAACCCGTAGACCAAAACATTACAGCATGAACCAAGAAAAATAAAAATAAAAATGCTCGAGTAACAGCTGTAACTAGCTCACCTTGATGTGAAGAACGCCATCGAACTGAAAGCATTTCAACTCAATATCAGCACGAATCTTCAATGGCTGAGGGGTCATCCTCCTACGGATGTTCATAATAAGAGCGTCCTTTACGGCATCAGTCATTGCTGGCACGGTCTTAGTAACCTACATCATACCATCTACATTAGAGGATCCATTCGTTTACACCTGATGGAAACAGATTTTTTGTACGTCATTCTCTTAGCAAGTTCTCGTGAAGCGTTAAGCGGGTGTTGTAACACTAGCTCACCTCTTCTTCACCTTCCACTTCTTTTACTTCCTTGGTAAGTCCGCTGAGAACAGAATCTGGGTCGGTAACAATCAACTTGAATGCCTGTCCCTCGAGGCAATGACACGGTAAGCTGGAAGAAGAGACTTCGGCCCGTACACAATTTCGAATAAAACATCATGGGCAATTATCCATACGCCCTTTTTCAGAAACTGGACAGTACTCGCATGAACTCAAAAAACATCAGATGTAAAAGCTCACCTCAAACGCATGCCCGTACTTTTTGTAGAGCGGCCAGGCTACGTTTTGATATAAATCCTGCAAGAGGAACATAAAAAGGTCATGAAGAGCACGTCAGGTGGTCCAAGAAGTAGTCACTCGTTCCACAAGCAACAGTCGATGGCGACTGAGTAAAGTTGAGACATTCATGTATAGCATGGGAGATTTCGAGCTAGACTCAAAGGGTCTGCAGACGGCGACGTCGATCACTTGATTGCTCAATCGTTTCAATAATGATCACATTCACTTAGTAGAATTTTACCTCCAAATCAGCATCCATTGTGTCGGCGACATGGCGCATGATAGAGTGCACCAACTTGCTTTTGTTATAACGTTCCTCACAGCTGGCAACGTCCTCCTCAGAAACCCTTCGTTTGCTAAGATCTATGTATCCCTTCTCCTTGTCCACCCTGAGGACCATGACGGGCTCTTGGCGTCCAACCTTAATAAGACTGCTGATACTTCGGATACGCCGACGAGACAGCTCTGAGAGGAGAATCATACCCTCGATGTTGTTGTATTCAAGGAGTGCCACATAAGCACCCATCTCAGCGATATTTTTCACCTACATTGGGACGATGTTAACGACGGGACCAGCACATGTAGAGCCACCCGAGCAATCCAACCAGCACTTAACAAAGAACGAAAATTGTGCATTGTCCAAATTGACACAATACTTGATGCCTACTGAAGCATTAGGCATCAGAACTTCAGTTCCAACGCATAAACGAAAGAAGAACTAGAAAAAAGAACTGCCGCTAACTAGCAATACAACTAAATACACCGCGGACAGTAATATTGAAAGGATAAAAGGGTACCAAGAGCATCATTCACATCCTGCGCCGTGCCGCTGACAAATATGAAATCAATTACTTGTAGGTAAATGTCTCATGAAAGTAAAATAAAATAAAATAAATAATAAATAAATAAATCACATCAATCTTAAACAGACGCGATCAATTTCGGCCTATTCTCAAAGCACAAGCGAGATAATTCTTGCAAAGACATGTTCCAACGAGAGGATGGGTAAGTGCAAGCACAGCGTTGATTTCATATTCCTCATGAAAGTCGAGAGGTCCAACACACCTAAACGGTAGGTCTAACGGATTCCAATATCTTAGTGCAGCCGCAATAATGCAACACTGAAACTGAACCCCGAACCGAGAGCATAATAGACCTTGTTAAAAAATTCCTGTGGAACAAGAGCCCGTAACAAAACTCATTGGATAGAACCACTTACCGAGACCATGACGACGTCGTCTACCTCCGGGTAGCGCGCCTCATACATTCGACAATCGGTGACCGTCATGGTTGCAAACTTGGCTTGCACGAGTATTAATCCAACCAGAAAAGCTCAAATATGTATATTCACTGAGGAGAGATGAAAATAGAAAATCCGCGAAACAAATTGCCGCACACCCTCGGAAACAAAATTCCTTGAACCGCTTGGAGCCAGCGACCCTAATGAGCGCAGGCAGCGAAGTAGCGAAGAGACCGATTAGGGTTTAGTGCTTAACATATATGACCCAGATCCATCCACGAACGCTGGATGTCGCAGTTTTCCAGTTTCGTCGATGTATATCTTCATTCATCCAATTTCATGGATGATTCGTAGATGGATGTGTTTTTTCGTGATACAATTGGCATACAAATTCATCCACTTCCTTTTCAGGTTCGAATGAAGAAGAAGATATTGTCCATTTAAAAATCACTACAAAGTTTGGAGTACTTGGAAAAAGAAGCATTATTTACATGAATGATTATGTGATATTAAGAAAGCAGGATAAAGGTTTTTTTTTCGTTATTATTATTCAAACATGTGAGTTTATTTTGTGCTTATGTACTTTGTAAACTTTATTCTTCAAATAAAATTTATGTAATGTTACTTTATTTTAAAGATCAGAAAAGATAAAAATAAACTCAAGTCCATAATAATATTCGTAATAACTTTTTCATGATATTATTGTGATGGAAAAAAAAACTTTAAGGTTTATTGTCACTTCAATAATAAATTATAAACATACATAACATTGCTTGTCACATCATTGGAATTTTGGTTTATTTTCAATGGTTGTAAATATGTATGCTCAGGAAAAAAAAACTTATCTTGTAACCAAAAATAGGGAAATAGTAAAACTATAAGATTCCTATAATATCTAATGATGTTGAGAATAATTTTATCAGATGCAGTAAAACCATTGTATTTAGTCAATTGAATGTATTTAATTTATTTTTAATTTTTAATTTATTTTTTGCTCTTCAACTCAAATATAACATTCTAAAAATATTTGTCAAATATAATATTTCTTTTGTGTTCTAAAGTATTTATTTATGAGACAATTAAATATTCTATTACCTATCAATATCTCAAAAAAAATCTCTTGATATAGGTACTTGAACAAGATTTAAACCTAAAACCGAAAGAAGTGAGTAGTTATGCAGATTTGGTGTTGTTCCTTTATTCGGTTTGTAGTACGTTTCAATGCCTCAATTCTTCAATTCTTAAAATTTTAAGCATTATGTGTAACAATTGAAATTTAACTAACCACATTTAATTAGTTTAGAATCTTTCACAATATCTTGTGCAATCGTACATTTGTTGAAGTTGTTAAATTTTTTTTTAATGTGTCGTCAAATATTCATTTATTCAGGAAAGTACAAATATGCATTAAGTTATGAATTTTGGAGTAAATCATTATTATTTTTATACACTATTTTATATTTGTTGCAATCATTCAATGAATTCCATATAATTACATTGGGGAGTTTTAAATAATATGACTACATTTTACCTTTTGAGGTTACTGAAGTTTTGTAATTATTCATATCTTTCTCTCATTATGTTCACTAATAAATTATTTCTAAATTATCTTTCAACTATTAAATCATTGTAGCTTCTAGAAGAGGCAAATATATTGCGTAATTCCCTACTGTGTGCTTTAAAAACACATAATAATTCTATCACTGAGGTGATAAAAAATAGGACATGTTAAAAAATCGATATCAGTATTGTTGTAAAGTTAATAAATATAAAGGTTAACAATATTACTGTTCCAAAATCAGAGTAAAAACATCAAATTACAAACCAAACAAATTCTAAAAAAACACAAATTTATAAAAAGAGTATGCTGAATGGTGTCCTGTTCAACTAATGTGAATAAAGAAAATCCTGAAAAGGACAATTTTTTTACCATGGTTGAGCATCTACTTCTCATGGTTGATTATAAGTTGCATGAATATATTTATTAATTTTTTGTCAAAAATTTATAAAATAAAATGTAAGATATAGCACAATGGCATGCTATTAAAGTTATGAATTAATAATATAAGATATAAAGATGTTATCTGAATTTAAAATTATCTTGTACGATAAATATAATTGTAGAAATCATATAAATACGGATAAGAAATAAATCTTATTCATTTTATATAAAACAATTAACATTGTATTTTTCAAAGGGGTAATTCTAATGGAATCAACTATTTAACCAACCAAAATATTAAATTGTTAATCTAAATCAGAACATGGTTAAACCCATTTTCAATATCTCTCCAAACATGCACTTAATGCAAGTAATAACAAACCATAACCACCATCTCCTCCACACAATACATCAAATTACTCAAACCAAACATTTCATCTCTTCATAGAGCTTCAAAACAAAACACACTCTTTCTTTCTTTTCTTATTTATGCATATACACTTGCACAATACATATATATATATATATATATATATATAGAAAAAGAAAAGAAAAATCTTCAATGAGGGAGCAAAGAGCATATTCAACATTAACAAAGGATTTAAGAAATGTTCACTTCAATGTGAGCTTCGTGCCTTAAAAACACCACAACAAGGCATGGTCATTGCCATTAGAATAAGAGAACTCACGCCACAAACACAAGCAACAAACAATAGTAATAATCTCTTATATAGAACACATCACAGAGAGATAAACCAACAAGATAAACCATAGGAGACAAATTTGATCTCCGATTGGTTGCATCTCTCATTGTTTTCATCAAAAGTGAAGCAAAAGTTGAGTTATGCAACAATTCACATGGCCTTGCTAAGAAATTATTCCAATTTTTTAGATTTGTAAGGTTATGTCTTATTCCTGGATTACATTGCAATTCTATTTTTGTGATAGTTTGTGTGATGTATTTTGTAGATCTTAACCAAAATATACTACCTTGGAGTTATTTTTTTAGTTTGGTGATTTATCATTTTGTGAATGTTAAACCAATTGGATGTGGATGAACAGAAGAAAAAAACCATGTTGGTCGACTTTTTTTGGGGTTGGGTAGGGGTTTTGATGACATAGATCATTTCTTTTTATTACAATTTTCTGAAACCATATTGTGTGTAGTTTTTTCATAAATCAATTGTTCTAAATATGATACAATGGTGATTCTAAATTAACACAAACATGTGTTGTTATTAATTAACAACCACATTTGTTAAATGTACGTAAGTATGTATACTTTCACATACCTAAAAGCTCAATTCTACAACATTGTTTAATTATTATTGTTATTGAAGATGTACCCAATCTCTATTATAAAACAGTTTTACATATTTTCCATAAGGATGGCACGGGTTCAGCTAGTAGTAGATGAAGAAGAAAGAAGAAGAAAATGGAGGGAGACAAAGAAGGGAGGGAGAGAGGGAGAGAGCGAGGGAGTGAATACTAATACGAAGACAAAGACGAAGGAAGGAAGCTGAGTGAGTGAATGTGCATGTGGAGTCAGTGCATGGATGTAGGGTTTGGCGCGCTCTAGAACCTCCCTCCAGCAGATCCCTCCTCCTCCTCTAAACCCTAAACCCTGTTCCGCCATAGCCAAATCCCCCCTCCCCCCTTCCCCCCTAACTGGCTGATTGATTGCCATGCACCACAAGGCATCATCGTCGGTCGCTCCCCTGGCGGTGCTGCTACCCCTTTCGCCTTGATCTTGCTCCCGATCGCGTCTGTGCTCCTGCTGCACTGGATCTGACCGGGTTGGATCGGTATCTGCACAGGACCGACGCATTAATTTTTATCGGCCTAACGAGTGCCGCGTTTTTATATTTTCCTAATCGTGAACACTCTTTTTAAAATGTGAGGAAATCTCGGGGGTGGATTGACTCGAACGCGATCTGGTGGTCTGAGGTGTCTGGTAAGTGGAGCTGTAGATGTAGACTACGATAATATATTTTTTTAGATCAGTGAGAGAATGTAGTTAATTCTGGATGCGTTTGCAGAGGTGATTGGAATTATCGCTCTGATGCTTTTGCGTTTGTAGCTCATGGTTTGCAATTTTGTGGAAGCCCTACTTTTCTCTTAGCATTGATTCTGTAAGGATACCCTCTGCTGTTGAACCAGTATAATGCATTTTTGGCGAGACTGTAAAGTCGTCATGTGCTATCTGAGAAGTGCATTCACTTTGTTTTTTTTCGTTTTTGTTTTTTTGTTTCATAAGCTTCTTGATATTGAATCTTATGTTTTTGGCGCGTTTTGAAATTCAAGTCCAGTTTCAGCTCACTTGTGAAGTTCCTCAATTTATCAGATGGCGATTTTACCTGGAGTTGTATGCACGTTCTTTTATAACGATTGTTGAGGCGTAGCAGTCTCTTGGTTTTGTTCAGAGAGAGTTTATGTCAAAGAGAAGTCCGTCTTTCTGCTCGTTTGCAGGGGGACCACGCATCAGGCACATCTCTTTCCCTCGAATTTCACTCTCAGTGGAGATAGGATGACAAATGGAGTCGGGCCCGTTGATGGAGGGCAAGTTTGGCTCGTCAACTGCCTGAATGCTACACTCGATGCGAATCCGCAAGTTCGTACCGCAGCCGAAGAGGCTTTGAAGCAGGCCTCTGTTCATCCAGGTCTGTCACTGTTTTTATTGAATACAAAAGGTCCTCTGTTACATCTTGTTACAATTTTGGTTTAGAAAATTGTGACTCCCTTAATCCCGATGAAGTCAATGGTCAGCAGACAGAGCTAGGTGTGTAATTTGAGCGTGCTCAGAGTGCTGTGTATGGCAGTTTAGTTCTAGCGATTGGGCTATCACAGTTTTGAAACAAGAAATCAGCTGTTTCTTGTCTCTTCTACATGGTGTAATATATTTGTTGAACAGAAGTAGAACTGATATTTCTTTACTCGTCTCTTTACTGGGTTTCAGGTTACGGAGTCGCTTTGACAAAGGCCATTATAAACACGGAGCTGCATTTTGGTCTTCGACAAATATCCCTTCAAATTGTTCTTCTGTTTTACACACTTTTAAGTAAGAGGATAGTTGGCTACAGCAGCTTTTGAGTGATCTTGAAAATATTTTCCAATTAATTTTAATTTTGAAGTCTGTGTCTGTGGAAGTGGTAATATTTGATAATTCTCTTGGGTTGTAATTCATTGCCCTTCAATCGGGATGAAGGTGAAAGGGAATGTAAATGATGCTCGACTTCGTAATGAAAACAGTGTTGGTATCTTGTCGCCTGAAAGCTTATTATCACAGTCAATCGTAAATATACTTGACTCTATATTACCTAGCGGCAGTCTTGCTTAAGCAGTACGTGAAGCAGCACTGGCAGAAGGATGAGAAAAACTTTGTGGAACCAGAAGTATCACCTGAAGACAAGGTTAGCAGTCTACGCTTTTGGCTGTATTATTTGAGTTTTGAATTCCTTCCAGAAATCACTTTATCGTGTTTACGTACATACTTCATTTATACTCCTGGTGGTTCGTATGGTTTACCGGAACTATAAAGCTTACATGAGTACATTTTCAATACTACGAGATTCCTTATCCCTGTCGTATTTCCCATTAATTTCCGCTGCATGTTTTGATATTCTACTTCGAAGTATAGGGAAGGCGGATTGTTTTCAGGTCTACCATTGAATAGGAATTCATTATGGTGTTTCATGCTATTCAAATTGAAAAGCACTCCACTGCATGCACAGCTCGAGGCAAATTAGATGAATAGATCCTGTGACCTTGTATGCTTCTTCCTTTGAGATTTGAGAAACTTATAAGGAGTTTGTCTAGTAGTACGCATTAATAATTATACTCCGACCTATCTACTGGTACAGGCCGCTATTAAAGAGCTGCTTCCTGCAGCATTGGAAGATCCACATGGCAAGATCCGGACTGCGGTCGGTATGGCTATTGCATCTATTGCAAACTGGGATTGGCCTGAGGAATGGCCTGGATTGATGGGTTATCTCCTCAGTCTGATCAATGATAGAACGGATATTAATAAAGGTACTGATTTTCCGATGAAACCGTCACTGTAAGTTGTAAATTTTGTTTTGCTTTGCTCTAATGAGAGCACTTACTTCTCCTTGCTTGGTACTTGGTTTTTGACATGAGCTAACATGTGCATTCCTGTCCTTCGTACATTTGTTCTCCTTGGCTTTGTAAAATTCCTATTTCTTTGTCGATGTAGTAGCTACCAATCTGATTTGGACTTGTGGCACAGTGCATGGAGCTTTGCGATGCTTAGCGCTGTTTGCTGGAGACCTAGACGATGTCCAGTTGCCACCCCTAGTGCCCGTCCTTTTCCCAGCTCTATTCGCAATCGTTACTTCCAAGGATGTAAGTTTTTTACGCTCTCTCTGCACTATTTTGTAACAAGATAAACGTTAGTACACATTATTCAACATGTCGTTACCAACTGTATGTTTTCAGTGTAAAATGGTTAGTATTCTGTGTTTCAGTTACGCTCACCAGCCCAGTATGCAGCTTTGTGGTTCATCTTTGTTGCACTTTGTTAATCATATTGTTTCTGTTACGTATAGGCTTATGATAGTTCGTTACGTCGCCGAGCTCTTATCATCTTGCATAGTTGTATATCAACGCTTGGAGTTATGAGTGGTGTTTATCAACAACAAACGAAGGAGTTGATGTCGCCTATGTTGAAATCATGGATGGAACAATTCGCGCTTATTTTGACCTCTCCCGTTCCATCTGAAGATGCCGATGACTGGGGCCTTCGAATGGAGGTAGGTAGACGCATGAACTATAAAATAATAGAAGAGCTTTCTAAATAAGTATGGAGAAGCCTTATTTAGTTTTTCTTATTCGTTGAAATACATCGAGTAATACTATTTCCACTGGATTTTACTTTCAATATTACTGTATGCCCTCCAGCAATGAGAACAGGAAACTGTTGCATTCGTTTTTGCTCTTCTATACGTACTTAGGGGACACTCTGTGTTTTTGTTGTTCGTCTTCAAAATATTCATTTGTCAGACCATCCCCTTCGGCATAGCCAAGTCGAAATTCTCGTGTCACCATGTGCTTGTGTTTCGTAATCTCTGCAGACGACCATTACTAAATAGTTTTGGAAGCGTCTTGCTAGGCCATGATATTGACCGTTAACACTTCCATCCATGCTGATTTTATGTTTCCTGATCCTTACGTTATTTTGCAGACTTTTAAAGTTTTGATGAGAATAGTTGAGAATTTCCCGAAATTGGCTGCAGCAGAATTTCCAGGTATGTCAATTTCTACTTTTTTATCAAATACTTTGCACCAAAACTAACAATACGCTAGTGAGTCAAAGTCATGTTTGCGAGGTCTTATTCCAGATGTAAGTATGGTCCTGCTTTCGATATTTGTATTTTAGAGAATTCGAGTCTGAATCTATGAGAACAGGAAACTGATGTTACAAAATGCTTGTTTCACTTGCATGTCCTCATGTTTTGTTTTTCTTCTTTTTGTGGGGTTTGATTATTCTTTTGTGCAGAGATTCTTGCTCCGTTATGGCAGACCTTTGTTTCGGGCTTGAAAGTTTACGAACAAGCCTGTGTTAAAGGAGTTGAGGAATCTTTTTCGGGCATGGCAGACTCAGATGGCACCGATCAAAGTCTCGAATCTTTTGCTATTCAGGTTTTGAATCAAGAATTTGACCTACTCATGCATTTCAAGTGTCGATTTGTTAGCCTCGTTAATTTGCATGTTCTTTGATTTGATTGAAATCCACATCTCAATGTTCAGTTTTTTTCACGTCAAGGCCTTCTACCCATATTGAGATGAGGTGTTGTGAAGACATCAGTGATTGAGGTTGCATAACAATGAGATTTCTTTGTTCGAATTCTTTTTGTGGTTTTTTCTTTTTGCAGCTCTTTGAGTTTTTGCTGACAGCCGTCTCTAGTCCTCGTTTCAGTAAGGTATGGTTCTCTGGTCTTGCCCCTGTTTGTTGTTAGTACTACTGCTTTTTTGCTTTGAGGAGTAGTTTCTTAGAGAAATTGAGGAAAACGTATCTATAGTTGCCGAATATAACTTATGATTTCCTGCCTTTCCGTTTTTTAGACCTTATGAAATTGGGAGCACAACGAAATTCGATATTGTATATTGGGTTACTAGCCATTCTTTCATTTGCTCAGTGACGTCATTTTTCTTGGTTGGCAGATAGTGCGGAAGTCCGTTGGTGAATTGGTCTACTACACAGTGGGTTATATGCAGATGACTGAAGAACAGGTGCTTGTTTCTGGCATGCCAATTGATTTACTAGACCTTCCGCCATACCATCTTCAACATCAACTTTTACGTCTTGTTAAAAGTTTTGCTTTGTAACTTTCATCGAATAATCATGATTGTTGCCTGTTTAAATTCTTTCCAGGTTCAAACCTGGTCGTCTGATCCAAATCAATATGTTGCTGATGAAGACGATGTCACTTACAGTTGTCGTGTATCAGGTTGGAACAATATGCTCAATGTTACGAATGCTTTCTTCATCTTGCTATTGCAATTTGAACTCTGCTCCAACTTTTATTTATTTTCATTTACTGGAACTAAGCACAGCGAACGTCGTAGTCTGGATATAAAGTTTTGTAAAGGATCATTGCAACACTGTAGGTGAGTTGGATGAAATTTTTTCACGCGTGAAGTTCTCCTCTGTGCAGGCATTTTGCTTCTAGAAGAGCTGGTTACAGTCTTTGAGATGGATGGTCTTCGCCTTATAGTTGAGGCCGTGCAACAACGACTGATTGAGGCGAGCCAAGCTAAAGCACTGGGTCGCACCGACTGGTGGAAGGCAAGCAAATAGCTGTGCTTTTCATATTATCTATTCTTATAAGTTTACGTCTAGTAAACGTTTATTACTACAGTTTTCTTGCTCGTTTTTTCACATCTTATTGATGTTCTGCATTGACAGCTTCGAGAGGCTGCTATTCTGGCTATTGGCACCGTAGCCAATTCGCTACATGAAATGGCTAACACAGTGCACGAAGCAAAGGTACACCATAAAAACCTCTCGAGATTAATACTACTTCCAATTCTCATGCCTTCTAGCAAGTTTTTTAAGTGCTTTATGTTAGCTGTAGTCTTTCCTACAAGGGACTGAGGCTGGATGCTGGTGATCTGCAGGCTGTTTCACTCTCATTTAATTTCGAGCCATTCCTCGATAGCATTTTAGCTGAGGACCTTGGAGCCGCAGGTGAATCAGGAATTTCTTCTTTAAATAACGAATTATATGTTGATGGGGTTGAGTATTGCTAGATGGATGATAACTTACCGCTGCTTTCTTGTTTGATTTGCAAGCCGCTTCGGTAGCCATTTGAATTTGCAATGCTTGGGTGAACCCAAGACCTGTCTGTTGCAACTGGTTTGGGATAGACTTCAACTTGTTGTATAGAATTTGATGGTTTGATTACTGTATGATTTTTTTGTTCATCATCTGATCTTCCAGGTGTTCAAGAGTGTCCTTTTCTCCATGGTAGGGCATTGTGGGCTGCTGCAAAGTTCTCTACTGCGGTAAGCTACATGAGAGATTTTCTTCCTGTTCAATTCTTGTGGATTATAGTGTGAATTGCATGACCATTATTTACTACATCATCTGAAACTCGAATGTCCTAGTTGCGGCTTCATTATTCAGTTTTGGATTTGTAACAAGAGAGTCATTTTGAGCTTATTCTGTAGATTTTCTGAGAAACGCGCACTAGTTAAAGCCCAATGTATTGTTTGCTCTGCATGAATGTGTTCTCTTTCTTTGCATTCGAGATGTGGTTTCTCCTATACGTATGGTGGCAGGTCGTGCATGTATGTAATCCAGTGTAAAGCCATGTTTGTTACCTGTACTCAGTGAATATGTTTGGATTCTTTATTCATATAGTGGAATTGAATATTCGTTACAGATAGATAAACCCAGATCAGAGAAGTTCTTCTATGCAGCCATTAATGGTTTAGGCGATGGAATGTAAGGACTTGATTCCAGTTTCTTTGTAAGTTGTTGCAAGTCTTAAGTTTTGGTATTCTACTATTGTTGTGTCGGCGCATCCTATGTAATGTGCAATAAGTTCATTTCCTCCATCATTGTTGAAGTTGCAGAGTGCTTGTAATCCATTATATCCACATATAGTATTGAGTTGGAGACTTTAGTATAAACTCGACTTAATAGAATCACTTAGATATCAGCTTTTCAGTCATTGAGCGGTTACCGTGAATAGACTTTCTCACAACAATCTCATCTATGTCATTCTTTCAGTTGTGTTCTGCGTTAATGCTACTGTTGTGGTTTATGTGAGCAATTGTAGGCCTGCACCTATCAAAGTGGGCGCTTGTCGGGCACTTGCTCAGTTGTTCGAGCATGTGAATGTTTCAAGTTTGAGGACACATCTTGGGCCAGTGTATGCTGCCCTCGCCAAATTACTTCAGGAGGTTGGTTTCACGTCTCATACTATAGGATATGCAACGTGAACTAACGATGTATTAAATTCAATGCTGCAATTTCAACATGTCGAGCATTGAGAATTGCTTCTCATTTTATTATATACAGGGATGGGTAGGGTTGTGAGGAAATACATTTTAGCTATTGAAGTATGCTTGGTAGAGTGATATTCGCTTGTAATTGAAAAATTGCGACTTTCAATTTTTTTAAGTACAGATGCATATTCCCATCGGGCGAAAACACAAATAATTGTAACCTGCATGGATTATACAGCAGAATTCAAGTGTGTCCGATTCTGTAAGCAGACTTATGGTTGACAAAATCTGTGAGATAGGGTAGTTTTTTATTATAAGTTGCCTCCTATTGCCTTGCAGGCATCTGATGAGACGTTGCACCTTGTGTTAGAGACATTGCAGGCTGCAATTAAAGCAGGTAAAGTCTCTCTGGATTGGTTTATTTAATCCATGATCCCCCTTCATATGGTCCTTTGTAGATTTCCTGTCTTCCTGTAAACCCTTTTGTATTATTTATCATTCCAGTTTGTTTTAGTTCTATGTACGTTTTTATCTGCATTGTGCTAATGTTGTTTGATCGGTGTGGAGATATCGAATTCTGATGAACTTTTGATTGTGTGGACCATCCGTTTCTTGATTAATGCTTCTCTGCAATAATCACGGAATAAGATAAGGAAGGATTAGCTTGCTTGTTATTCTTAAATGGTTTTGTGGTGCTCAATTTGTGGCTGCTATTTCAGCTCGATTCGGTTTGAAGGAGGTTTTATAGGTTGCTGCATGTTTTTGTCATATGCTTTGGATGAGCAATCTAGCAACTCACCAAACTCTTGTGTCAAGTTCGACCTTATCTCTTCTTACCTTTTTTCTTCGGTATTTTGATCTGCTAAGAATCTTAGATCTTGAATGTGTTGACTGACACAGATGATCAAGCGGCTGCTGCCGCCGAGCCTGTGATATCCCCCCTCTTGCTTAATACTTGGGCTAACAATGTGTCTGATCCTTTCATCAGCTGTGATGCTTTTGACACTCTGGAGGTGAGGTTTTTCTATTATCTTTATATTGTGTAAGAGTGGTGTGTTAAGTAGGGTTTTAAACCTATACCCCAGTATTCGTTATATATTACCTCAAATATTGTCGTTATGCCTATTTTAGCAAACACGTAAATGCAGTTGGTTTATTTTAGTTTTGGATTAGATGGAAGATTTGATTGGGATATCTTATCCTAAGACTATTGTCGTATTTTGTATCCTGTGCTTGCAGACTCTGAAAAAGGTTCCGGGATGCGCTCAGCCACTTGCACTGCGTGCCTTACCTGTGTTGGCATCTATTTTAGCCAGGGTAAGTATTTGTATTTATTCTTCGTCCGATCTGATCGCTATGGTTCTATTGGGCTGGGGTTGATTTCAGTTGTTGGGAAACGTTGTACAACAGTATGTTTTTTTAGCAATCTTGGTTTTTAGTGGTTGTGTAATTTGATTTTGTTTCAAGTAAAATCCTTAGTTATGTCTGTTGTGTCGCAAGGTATCGACAGAGTGTTTGCTCAAATTTTATTTTTTAAATTTGGCAATTTGTGTAATTCCCGTGTATTTGCCAGCCTCAGCATCAGCCGCAGCAACAGCCACAGGACCTTGTGAATGGAGCCCTTGACCTTCTAGCCATGCTTCTCAAGGCAAGTAGTTGCAATTTGAGCCAGACGTGTGTTGGCAACCTTTTTCTAATGAAATTTCTAACTTTTAATTTCTTGCCCCATAGGAGCCAAGAACATTTTCTTGATACCGATTTTCATTTTTTAGAATTGGTTTTGAAATGAATGATGTTTGTGCTCCAATTACATGACGTGGAGTGTATCATTTTTCAGGAGCAAGTTTTTTAGGGTTCGTCGATTGTGCCAGATGCGTTTGATTTGTGGTTAAGTAGTATGTCAATTATTCAGTTCATCAGTCAGTGGCCGATTTGAAACCATTTTGAGATCTCTTTGCATTGGGTGACGGGGTATTTGTCGAAATGTATGAAGTTGTGAAGGTCCTATGTGGACTTGATAAAACTGATCCCAAGTACCTTAATTTGTATTTGAATTGATTAAAACATATCTTGCAGAAAGCTCCTTTGGAAGTTGTGAAAGCAGCACATGACGCATCTTTCAAATCTGTGATTTCTATTGTTCTTCAAAGCGATGACACAAGTGAGCTACAGGTGAGCGAATACTGGTTATCGTAAATATCTATTCATATTACTTACATTGTAGGTTCGTTATTTTGTACGTGAACGTGGCCTTAATTTGCAAAAGTGTGGTGACTTTAGGTGTCTAACGACGTTAAGTATTCTTGATGTGTCACTGATTGTGTGTATGGCTGATTTTCAGAACGGAACTGAGTGTCTGGCAGCCTTCGTTAGAGAAGGGGGTGAGGCTTTACTAGGATGGGGTGGGGACGCAGACCAAACCATGCGTATGCTTTTAGATTCAGTGGCAAGGTATATGTGGAGGAACATTGTATTACAGTGCTGAACATTTCTTTTTGAATTAGTCTGTAACTTTTTTTACTTTAGCTGAGAAAGTTGAGAGATCCAAAACTTCTTTGTTTTTACTTGATTTTTTGCGTCGTGCTTGACTTTCATCATTACATTCGAATCTTCTCTATTTGCGTTCATTTCGTGAACTGGATCGCCCAATTTTGAATTGAGCGTTTCGTTTCTACTTGTTTCTCATGTTACTTCGTTCTGGTGAATTTGTAGGTTGTTGAATCCAGAACAAGACAGCTCGTCTGCTTTGTTTGTTGGGAACCTTGTAACAACGCTCATTACGCAACTTTCAGTGCGCACGGCTCCACACATTCGGGACCTGATTGCCGCTCTTGTCATTCGCATGCAGTCTACCAGTGTTGCTGTGCTCAAGTCAAAACTACTAATTGTGTTTGCAAGATTGGTAGAAATTCATAACTGTTCTTTGGCTCTCCTTGTTTCGCAAAATCAGTGTTTGTAGGTCACATACGTTCCCAAGTCCCACATTTTCGAGCAAATGATTAAGCAAATATTCTTTTTTGATTTGCTGCCACATTTTTGTAGTAATTCTGTCTTCCAGTCTGCTAATCACGACGCGTGCAGGTGCATATGGCATCTCCAAATGTTGGGCAGCTTATTGACCTTTTGGCAACTATTCCTGCCAAAGAGCATGAGAATGCACTCGCTTATGTAATGTCAGAGTGGGTGATGCATCAAGGTGAGTCTTTTTCAGAATATCTGGCAGATACGGATTCGAATGTCTTGAATAATGTTATAATGCAGAGGGCACGCATAGACAAATTTTTCTTTTCAAATTTTAGTCTTGTTTCTTTATACCCTTTTAAACTCTAGTTCTGAAGACATTCTTTCTTATATGCCCTCTGGTTCGCTGTTTGAGAAACTGTAAAACCTAGCTTATGTAGTATTGCTAAGGCAGTATTTCTCCTTGGAGAGATTTAAGTTTAATGGTTTGTCATTTGTTGTTTCTCAGTTGAAATACAGGGATCTTATCAAATTAAAGTGAGTACCACTGCGTTGGCGTTGCTGCTGGCTTCTGGTCATCCGCAGCTCTCACAGATTTATGTACAAGGACATATTATCAAGGTAGGTTCGTGCATGAGTCGGATAGAGCTCTTATTTTGTCGGGAAATGCGCCTCTCCCTCCCTCTCCCTCCCTCTCCCTCCGTCGCTCCCGCTCTCGAGCTGATCTGTGCTAATTGTTTTTGCATGTGTTACACCTTGAATATGAATTGTGTTTCCTGCTCTAGTAAATTAATGAAGATCGTAATCGTTTCGAAGGTTTTGTAGTATCTCTCACCTTGGTTTTTTGCAGTCAAATGCAAGTGGAATAGTGACACGCTCGCGAGCCAAGGTTTCTCCTGACCAATGGACTCGTGTACCTCTTCAGGCGAAGGTACCTTCCTGATGTTAAATTTTTCGATGTGTGTGTACTGGTATTTGCCTATATGATGAGTAAGAGCTCTTATCATGTTCACCAGTTTGACTCTGGATATCATGAAAATAGTATTGTGATCTTTAAAATATGAATGTCAGAATCGACTCCCCTAACTAATCAGATGTAACACACCAAGTTCCTTCTATCGCCTAAACAATCAGTATCGATCGCGGTCATTGTTGCAGTGACGACTGTATGATTATCCCAGGTCAAATGTATGACGAGGCTAAACCACAGCTGGACAAGTTGAACGTGTTTAAAAATTCGAACACCTCGACAGACAGATCTTCGTTGTAATGAATGCCATGACAAAATGACGACTGGACGTGTCTCTCATTGCATTTGTCTGTATTTGCAGCTCTTAGCCTTGTTGGCCGATTCTTTAGTTGAGGCTCAGGAACAAGGACCAACATCAGCACTTGATAATGTAAGCTGCACGTTAAACTCGATGCTTAGGTATCACTCGCTGCGTTAGTTTTAAATATCTGGCAAATTTCCTCAAGATTTTCTTTGTTAGCTCTCTGCTGTGCGAACATGAAATGGGAGGTGTGTAATAAGCTATTGCACTAAAAAAGTAGCACTTATTCAGGATGAAGAGTGGGAGGATGCTGATGAAGACGAGGATGATGATAAAGATGATGATGAGAATGCAGCTGCTATGGATGTCAAGTCAGACAAAGGACCTTCATCTGTATTCAAAGAGCTCTCAGGATACGAACATCTGCTGACAGATGAGGTACATGATGTTATTGATTGATTATGAATGACACGCATTTGACCTCGTCTGTCAAGTGGTACTTCTCGATCTGCAATATATGATCAGAAAAACGTGGTCTCGAAGGAGTTCCGTTCTGCATTCATAGGGATCTTAGTTTTGGAATGCGACCCTTTATTAACCTGAATTATATTCTGTAACTCTTCTGTGTGTACTGATCTTCTCCCGTGAATTGTGAAGGTTGAAGAAGGAGACTACGAAGAGGATCCTTGTGCTGCATCTGACCCATTGAATAAGGTATCATTGAGTTGAAGCAGTTTTGATGTAGTTTATTGAAGTATCTTAAGGCTTCGTGTCGATGTGCGAATAGCTGAAGTCATGACTTGACGAATATTGTTGAAAGGTCTAGCCTGAAAATTTGATGTTGGTTCGATTTTCAGATTAATCTTGCGGTATATGTGTCTGGCTTCATCAAGCAACTCTGGGAAAGAGACGGAGCAAGTTTTCAGCAACTTTGTCAGGTAGGTTTCCCAACTTCCACTTTGCGCTGTCATCATCATCCGCCATACTCAAACAGATTCTTACTGATGCTTGTCGGTTCTAGACTAGCCCCTGTTCTTGTTTGATATGGTAATTTTCTTCGCATTGCTGGTTGCTTATGTTGCAGCTATCTGATAGTCGTCGTAATTTACCTATTCTCAATGTTTACTTTCTTATTCTGCAGACTCTCACAGATTCAGAGAAGGGTGTTGTCCAATCTGTCTTGAGCAGATAGTGATTGTGACGTATTGATACTCCATCGTAGGCAACTGGCATCGATGCGAAGATGGGTTGATTCCCGTTGAATTAACAAACGCTCGATATAGACACGAAAGGTGGCATTATGGGGTGTCCATTTGTTTTGTCCATCGTTACCTCTATTAATCTGGATTAGTTTATCACGATTTTGGATCTTGTGTGTTACATTCATTAGTAGCTGAAGATGTTACTGTTTTCGATATAATCCGTTAAAACTTGAGCATTACTGGTCACGTTACCTGGGACGATCAAGTGTGTTGGCTGTCTTAGTTAAATGGCTGCTGTCAATATAGCAGATTATTGGCTTCTCCAGTTCCACTAGCAATATTTTCAATTTTAGCGGTCAATGATTGTACCATTTCATATCGGATAGGGGCTACTTTTTGGCTACTTTTTCTATTATTTACTTATTTTCCACTCTTCTGAAGCTTTGACCATATTTTGTGGTCGATTACGTCCACAATTTAGTGTTCTGTAATTTTTGTAAGCATGATCGTCTACGCCTTCGAATGTTGCAGGAGGGCTGTGATACAGTAGCTGCTCCTCTGATTCCTTTTTGTTGAAATATTATTTCATAATGTCGACGCACTGCACATGATTCCTTCTGTTATCTAATGTTCGGTGCTTCATCTGGTGCATCACATTTTTTAAGCATAACATGCCTCTACACAACAGCTGCACAACCAGGTTTCAGCCAAGTTGGACTTTTCAAATGTGGCCCATGCAACATAGTCTTCTACGGTAAACTGTGTTGACGTTGTCAAAGGACTTGTCAAACCCGCACTCAGTTTCTTGATGGTGGGCCCTGAGTGTTTTCGTTGGGCTTCAAGTGGGTTGGATTAATAGATAGAACTGCACTGGAGTACTGGCTTTTGGTATTTTTTGAAATGTGTGTTAGTCTGAACAAATACAAAGCAACAAAGCAACAGGCTGGTAGGATACATATTGCCGCTGTTGAATATACACAGCTGAAAACTTTATCATGAAACAAAGAAAGCAGTCCTACATTTTAATGATATGGTAAGAGTGCCGTTGTTCCTCTCCATGGTTTGCATGCCTTGAGCATCTCTTGAATAGAGAGAAACATGAACAAAGAATTAATGAGCAAGTTGCTTGGATACAATGCATTGACAATACCGCAAACAACTTTGGACATCCTTTGAAAGGATGTATGCCAGATGTTTCTATAAAGACATGATAGTGAAGAGCAGTTTTTGTGGATCTCGACCCTAAAAAAGCATATTTTTACCAAGTCTTAAATGTTTTGCAAAGAGATGAGAGTTATATGGATTAATAAAATTTTAGATATTCGACTTAAAATTTGTTAGGAAAATAAAAAATTGAGCTTGAAACAAAAACACATTTATTTTTTTTAGTTTTATTTGTTTATTTGTCTGTCCTTTTGTGATGTTTTGTTTTGTTTTGTTTTTTTCTTTTGTTTTGTTTTTTTTTAATTTTTAATTTCTTATTTTTTGATTTTATTTTAAAAAATAATTATTTTCCAAAAGTATTAGTTAGAATCTATGTCCTTGTCTTTTAATATTTGGAAAATCATTCATTAAAAGCCAATATAGTGCTCATCAATCAATTCTTTTATAGATCACAAAATGATAAAAAAAAATCATTGGTCAATTTGCCTAGTCTTCAAACATTCTATCAAATAATTAATTTTGATGTCAAATGTAACAATTAATCTTTTACTATATAGAAAATTGTATTGCAATACCTCAACTCTTTTATACTTCTATGGAAAATACCTTATTTAAATAAGATACATAATTAATTGTAAAGGATATATAAAGTATTACTATATGATTTTTATTTGTTAAAATAAATTTTTTTGTAGTTCAAATGAATATTTTAATTATTTTTTTTATTATTAAAGAGCCAAAAAATATTACTCAATATTGTTTTGAAAGAAGGTAGAATCATTAAACAAGAAATACAATTCTAAAAAATCATAATGTATTAGAAAATAAGTTTATCTAGCTATGTTAGGAACCACAAGGCTATATTTATTTATAACATCATCTTATGAAGGTTATATATATATATATATATATATATATATATATAGGTATTTAGAGCTCTTTGTTTTGTTTTGTTTTGTTTTTTTTGATTGAGTACAAGTCTATTTAAGGCCTAAAATTATTATAGTTTTTACATATGACTTGTTAGATTTTAGTGCTTTTGCCTAATCTATTGATGAATGCTTATCAAATATTATAAGTTATTGTTGGAATGTGTAATTAAAATCATACATACATAAGCCATAGGTAGATTTTTTTTTTTTTTTTTTTTTTTTTTTTTAAGAACATCACTTATAATATCTACTATTAGAAGTAATTATGAAGGATTATTAAAGTCAAGTGATATTTAATATTATATGATTTTCAATCAATCTTGTTATTTTAGATCTATCAAAATTATGAAAATATGATCTTAAATTAAATATCTTATAATCTAAAATATTCTTTTGATTTATTTGAAAAAGTAAATAAATTTTCTTATTTTCTAAATAAGTCAAACTTTTATTTATTAAAACAAGAGAATTATAACCAATTCCAAAAATTGTAATCTTTATATAACACCAAATCTTTATTCAAGTAAAGGTTATAGTAGAATCTTATAAAAATATCAAAAAATATCAAGATGTATCTAAGAAGAAAAATGTTTATATATTGCCAAAATATTAATCTTAAGATTGTGAAATTGACCTTCAAGAAAGAACTCAACCAACATTTGGACCAATTTACAACTTGTTTCTAAACAAACCAACTACTCTTTAGAAATATATTAACATAATTCTTATAGAGAATATTTTTTTGCCACACAATTGTTTTTGTAAAGGTACCAATCTTCTTTGTTAAGAAAAATTATGGATTTTTGTAAATTTATGTAGATCTTTCCAACTCAATAATTTAATCATCAAGATTTTTTATTCTTTAATTTTGATATTAGAGATATTTAAATATCTAAATAAAGCTAAGATTTATACTAAAATAGATCTACAAAGAGCAAATAGTCCAATATGTATTAAAAATAAGAACAAAAAAGATACTAAATCATTAACTTAGTACAACCATTTTGAGTATGATACTCAAAATGTGCCAATTTGACTTGCAAATGTTTCAATCCATCTTTGATATTTTATATATGACTAGTTTTATGATTTTTTAGATAGATTTTTTATGAACTATTAAAATGATATTTTTATTTACATTAAGAATATTTAAGAATATAATAAAGATGTTAGTCTTTTAGTACACAAATTTAAAAATACAAGGACAACTTTTAAAATAAAAAATAGATAATTCCCAAATTCTAAGTGGATTTTAAAAATTCAATACTTTATATGATAGTTTCAATTAGATTTTAGAAATATATCAGCTATTATAGATTGAAAAAATCTAAAAACTATATATAATATAGAATATTGTTAACAATTTAAAAATTACTATTATATATTTATTAAGATTTTTTTTTCTATTGAATAAAATTTAAAATTTTAAAATGTTTTTATTGAATTTTTTAAAACATATTAAAAAAATAAAATCTAATTCTTAAATAAGAAAATTTATTTTATAAATAGATATAAAAAATTACTTTATATTATTAGTTTTTGTGTCAAAAACTTCTTAGTATCTAAATTAGTTATAAAATTTGCAAAAAAGAACTTTCCATTTCAATTCATATTAATAAAATATTATAAATAATTTTGAGAATTAAAAATTTCAGTTTTTATGTCTTAAATCTTATAAAATAATACAAAGTTTGACATCAACTAAATTTAATAGCCATATAGATAACTCTTGAAAACCTAAATAATAGTAGCTACATTTAACTATTTAGTAAAGCAATCTTAATGAACCAATTATCATTATAATATAGGATATTTTAAATAAAACAATAATCTAGCTTTGGAATGAGTACTTTTTCTAGGAGTTTTTTAGAAGTAATTAATTAATCAGCTTTGACAAAAGAAAAAAAGCTTTTTATAGTCAATTTTAGATACACAGATAGTACACAAATTTGACTACATACCTTTCTTCATTTTAGGACACACAACCAATACCTGAGAAACAACTACAAAATTAATTCTTTTTATGTTTTAGAATTCTTCTAGAAAAATATTAAAATAGAAGAATTGCTAAATAATTAATTTTCTATGTATATTTTTTATATAGCTAAAAATTCTAATTTTTTTATTATTTATATACATTATATTGATTATATATATATATATATATATATATATATATATATCATCAAAGAAGACAAATCCTAGACTTGGTTTTTGATAGCAATTAAAGAAGGATAAAACACAATTGGATAATTCCAAAAGATTTGGAGCTTTTCAATTTTTTAGATTTTATAAAATTATTAAGAATTCTAAAGCAAAGACCAAACTTAACTTATCTAAAAGAAAATTTCTTCACAACTTTAGCCAAGTTGTAATTGCATAAGTTAAAAAAGTTTGTTTTTATTGCAAGTATCATGTAGTTAAGCTTCTAAATAACTATTAATCTTTTAAAGTAAGAAAAAATATATTTTTTAATTCTCTAATAAATTTTTTAGAGGAGAATTAATCTCTAATGTAATAATTTGTAAGGTAGTAGAAGCTCATGCTTCTTCTCAATTAATTTTCTCAACAAGATCTAAAATTTCATTACAAATTACTAACTTTTCCAATTTTCTTTGATTTTTGGCTTTTTGTGTAATTTTTCTTTAATCTCTTCAAGATATAACGATTTTCTTATTTTTAGTAATTAGTCATAATTTTAGATCATATCAACTATTCTTAGATTGATGTTGTAAATTAGGACTTTAATAACATCCACAATGTCATTGATTGGGTTTTAAGTTGTCAAAATTTATTAGAACTTCTTCTTATAAGAACACCCATAGCTCATATCTTTTGATCTATGGAATTATATGTTGAAGCTTGTGGAGTAATTTTGTTAACCTCAAAGTTTACATTGACAAATAATTTAGGAAGAATTTTGTTGAAATTTTATTGCTTAAAAATACAACTTCTTTCTAGAAACATTAATACAATTATTGTTACAATGTTAAGCCACTTTTATTTATTCATTGAATACATGCATTTTTGACATGCACATAGTGACTTTAAAATGGTTGTAAAAGCCTATTATAAAAAAAATTAACTTAACTTTGCCTCCAACTTTACCTTGAAGAATTTAATGAACTTAATGAAACACTTTCAATGATCTTAAATTTTATTTCTTTGATTTAGAAAAAAAGCTCATAATAAAATATAGACTTATCTATTAAAAAATTACTTCATATATTATAAGAAAAAAATTCTTCTATTTCTTCTTAAACACAATATATAGAGACGTTGAACCAATCATCAGACCATTTTTGTTCCTTATTTACAAGTATTATTCTAAAAAATGTATTAATAATAGTGGCATCAATCTTTCTATTTTATTGGGTGTATTTATTAAAATTAAAAATACAAGAATCTAGGTTTTCATATTCTTTGGACTTGTTTGATTAAAAACATTTTATTATTTTTGATTTTGTTTGAATTTGGTGTCT